TTACCTCCGTACTGGTGTCATTTGGGGAATGTGAGTAGTGTAGCCTGTTGACTGATTGGCCAATCAGGAATGGTCCAGAATTAGCAGCCTGCCTTCTCATCTGCTAATGATAACGTGGACTAAACACAGCTCATCTAGCATGTTGGTTACAATATGTGAAGCTTTGCCCAAAACCTTCATTACAACAATCAGTTGCTGAACCTTTTTGATTTCAAATTGAACACATAAGGAAAACATTGTAATTAAATCATTTGATGCATTTTTGTGACATCTTGCGGCTAAAGAGCTGCTGCAGTTGTTGTGAAATGTTGGGTTTTACAGTGATCTCTAGTTACGAGGAGAATGCCTTTAAAAGTGGTCAGACTGCTTCCCTTATATGGAAATAAATCACCTAAGGTTTTTATCGAGATCAGACTTATTGTTCACTGCAAGCAAGTAAAGATTATTAATACTACTTTTCTGATGTGTTTCCCACATGGCCTTACAGCCGTGAACTGTTGAGCCCTGGCTCTTACAAAAATCAATATTAAACTGGACAATCAGAAGAGACTGTAAAATCATCCTACTTGACTTCTGTAGGCAGTCAGTCTCCTTCTAGAACTCGCTGTAAATCAAAATATCAATTTTACATTTTTTATTGATTAAAAATTGTGATAAATTGAGGTGGCAAAATGAAAACCAGAACTTTGAGAGAGACAAAGCTTTCTTTAAAAAGCAACCTGTCACAACAATGGTTTACTTGAAAAAAAAAAAAATACATCTATTAAGATATGGATGAAAAAGAAAAAAGTACAAGAAAACCCTTGAAGAAAAAAACAGTCTCAAATAAAGATAAGTGGAGATGAATGTGTGTGTTATCAGCGTAACAGTGTGATTTACTGTTTTATTGCTTAGAGAGAGTATATTGAAAGAAAATAAAAGAGGTCCTGGTATCAATCCCAGAGGGACTCCACTGATTTAGTTAGGAGTTGGAGTGGGAGCCTCATTTATTGAAATAAATATTTATGATTTTTCTTATGGTAACAAACCAGCTCACAAATAAAATCACTGAAAGAAATATTGATCCTCTCATCCAGTATTTAGAAACAAATTTAAAAAAGTTATTGGTATTCTTAAAAGTACAGCACTTTTATGGTTTTTAAAAGTTTGAAAATACTGGAAAGGATTGATAAATCTATTACTCTGTGTACAGCTCTCTATGTTAAGGGTCAAGTCTTGTTTGACTACAAAATACCATCTTCGTCGAGTCTTTTAACCTAATTAGCTGCTCCTGAAGCTCTTTGTCAAATGTTTTTCCATCTTACCTCTTGTCCAAACTCTTTTGCTCATCACCAGCTCTCTCACCGGGATCGAAATAAATGAGTAATGAGCGGTTCCTGCATGCTTTCTTAGAGACAGTACTTGCAGTTGCTGTTGAAGAGTTCAGGTCTTGTCTCATCAGATCACGAATCCTCCGTCTGACACTTTGGAAGTTTTTACTACCCTCTTCAGACATTTTGATGTGGATGTCTTTAATTGGCCTTCTGCCATGTAAGCGCAGATTTGATCAAGTCCTGCGCTGACTTTGGATCTGTGGCAGAAAGGGCCGACTTTTATTATCCAGTATTACATAGTCTGAGCAGATCAATATATAGTTTTCCAGTACCTTTCTGAAATAGTATCCTTGTAGAATGAACAAGAACCTGTTGCGAAGCAGAGGAGTCTGGCCTCACCCTGTTTTGCAGTACATTAGCATTTTCTTTCAGTGTTTCAAGTAGTGTTTTTGTAATTGTATAAGTAAAGCAGCTGGACGCTTGAACAGCAGGTTGAGTTTTCTAACTGTAAGCTCAAACAAAGTGTTGGATTTATCTAAGGCTTTAGTAGGATCGAGCAGTTTAGACAGTAGAGGCTGAAACTAGAGGTATTAATTTAATCTCAGGGTTGGATCTGGGCGCTAAGGTTGTTGCATGTAAGGAGTGGGCTGCCAATTGCCTGTCAGCATAACACTGTGGATTTAAAGACAAGGCTTGCCTGCCTGGTTTTACTTGTTTTCACTGGTAGAGGATGGAAGGATAAGGAGGCTGATCTGGACCACTGAGATGCAGTCATGGGAAACAGACTGCAGAAACTGTTGCCTTGCCAACCAAGCCCCTCGGAGTGTAAGGGTTAAATGTAAAAGATTCTCTGCCAATGCAAATATAGGTTGCCATCTGTTTTTATTACAGCCTTTTGTTAGGTATTTTGAATGTGATGTAGCTGTTCAGATCAGTGAAGCTTTTAATTGGATTTGATGTGAGAGCAGTATGCACCTGGGTAGTGATCACAAGAACATCCATGTGCCTCCGAAGGTGTGAGCATATGTGAACACCAGATATTGCATCCATCTAGAGCTACTCCTGCAGGTATAACACAACATTTGGTATAAGTGTTGATATTTATTGTTTTTGTTATGTGTGTTAGCTTAGTCTAAACCCAGAGCTTTTACAACATAACCAGCAGTAATCACAATACCCATTGTAGTTGTTGTACTTCATGAAAATGGGATTGTTTTCTTTAACTGCCAGGTGGTTAACTCAGCAGTAGCCAATTTTAACTCGACTGTGAGATGTAAAGAAAAACTTCTTAGGAATTGAAAAAGTTTTGTGGACGACTTAATTTGAGTGTCTGACTATTAATCTCCTGTGGACTCAACAGCGATATGGTGAAGGCAAGAAAACAGCAAACTTGTTGCTTAGGAACAGCAAGAAATAACCCGAACTTTCTTGAAGGATCTGATCTTATCTCCCATGGTGGGTATATCGCTGTATGTGTGTGAGTGTGTGTGTGTGAGTGTGTTACGGGAAGTGGGGGTGGTGGTTGGGGGAGTCAGGTTCAGCAGAGGTTGTTTCTAGGCAACTGTTTTTTTTCCCTTTTAATATGAAACTTGTTTGTTTTTCTTCTCATTCTATTCATTATAGGGCGCTTTTCAACCGATATGATTTCTCATCATTTGGACGGGGTTAACTGGTGCTCTGGAGTCTGACCCGGTGCAACTTTTTTATTCGAAAAATGATGATAAATGATGAGACATATTTTTACTGATTACATTCATTACAGCATCAACTATGTGCAGATATTTCCAGTTATATCAGTAGTAATGGTGATCTGTTTGCGGTGTGAACTCATTAGCTGTGTTTGGATGGAGTGCTAATATGTGTACTACAAACTCCAACATGGTTAAAAGTTCTCACTGTGGTCTCTTAGTGTTTTATCTTAAACTGATGAGTGCAAAAATTACTTTGCTTTAATATATTCTCATTTTGTTCTGCTGAGCTTGCCCATGCCTGCAGCATACACACTGAGTTAGTTGAACAATTGACCTACAACAGCTGCTGGCCTGTTGCCCAGCCCTCCCTCAGATAAAGGCAGTACGCTCTCTTATAAGCGGCGAGTTCTCTAAAGACAACAAACAAACAAATAAACCTTTTTAATATGCTTTCTGAGTTATATTGAGTCCGTACTCAGTTATTAGGAAAGCATTTGTGTGCTGTGTAGCAGCTTGAATTGCCATGTTTTGACATCACTATTCACTTTAATTAAAGCTGTATTTTTCAGAATGTGCTTGTGTGTGTCTCTGTGCAACAGGTCCAGGTTAACATCTTTGTATTTGCTCAGTCTCATGTGATGCATTTTACATAAATTTTCTCAGTTTCATAAGGGATAATCTAATAAGTGGAGAGTTGTTATGCACAGTTCACATGAGGTGATATAACAATAAATTGATTTCAGGACAGCTTAGTGGAAAAATCACATGCACAGCAAAACCTTACCGCATTATTTCACGTATAAGCGCTTTGACAGTGCAGGCAGAGCAGCATCTAATTACAGCCTCTATCCCCTTGCTTCTACACACGTACGCACACACACACACACACACACACACACACACACACACACACACACACACACACACACACACACACACACACACACACACACACACACACGCAGAGAGCACAGTGATTGTGTCTCTTACACTACATCTGCTTTGATTTGAATTTTAATTGGCTTGCATGTGAGGTGTTTAATTGGGGGCTTTGAATTTCAGTGTTTTAGGTGGGAACCTGTGGCAGATTCTGTGTTTTGTTAAACTCTAATTAAAAGCTTCATTTCTTGAAGCCTTGGTCTTCACATCAGCCAAACATACTTAGTGTGCATGTGTATATGTGTTCATAAGACGGCAGACACCCTACTGCTTCCACTAACACCCGATCCCTTTAATCATCCCTGCAGTCCTTTGCCCTGTGATCCAGGCTCTCTGGTACAGTACAGCAGTTTTATAAGCCACAGAGATGATTTGATCTTTAAACATATGAAACTGTGTTGAATAAATCAAGTGTATGATGTGTAGTCAAATGGACATCTGCTGTAGGTCATTGAGTGAATTAGAGGAAATGCAGCTTGAATTCTTTCTCTAGCTTTTCTCCCTCTTTTTATCAATAACACACTGGAAATGTAAGACTAACATGCTGTGAAGTTTTCAGTCAAAGCACTACCTGCAAGTAAATTAACACAGTATTATGAAATAGTTGCAAAAGGGGGGAAGAATAAAACTGTTTAGACTTTGAAATATTTGTCAAAAATCTTTCTCGCATGACAGTATCATATATATTTTTTTGCATTTTCTTGCTCCTTGAAGAGTTTAAGCCCTTGCGTGTTCTTCAATTTTTACCTGTTAAGACTTTTCTCTAATCTGCACAAGTTAAACAAACTGTTTACAGCAAAGTCAAACATAAAGTCAACTTTTTCCCCACTTCTTTAAATAAAAATATATCCCAGCAATAAATGACCATTAACCTCTCTCTCCTTCTGGTAACCTGTTGATTTGCACTCAACAGAGTTGATCCTGTGTGTGTGATGTCTCACTGCAGTATCCAGTTCCAGCAGGGAATACTTCCAATTAAAGAAGCAAAATGCTGTTTCATAGGGACTTCAACTGTGGCACCAGCCTGACGTCAGACCTCTGGAGTCTATTTGAAGCAATGTCCCAGAATGGTATGAAAAGAAAGAAGTCCTTGGCCCAATTTAAGTACATTTAAAGAAAAAAGATGGAAAGGTAATGGTGCTTTGGATTGAATTTGTGTTAGAGAATAAAAAAAAGCTTAAAATATTTAACTGACTGGCAAACTTCTGTTTCATCATCTTTTTAAAATATCGACTTTACACTAAAACTAAATAGACAAGGTAAGGACTAAGCTAAACTGGCGTTCCTTTAAAACTGGTGGTTTTCACAGAATCTATAAACATATCTCTCCAAAAATCTGTGACTTACACCCTTTTCCCTCAAAAAACTTCTGTAGTGAAGTTAAAAGCACTGTCAGTCTATGCACTGTATACATGTATTGTCCCAATAATCTATCACGGTTAGATACTGCCCTCTGTTGGAAGACATATAGAACTACAACTTTGACTGGTTTTCTGGTGCCGTTCAATTTTGAATTATTTGCCGATGTAACACTTGAAACAAATTGAAGTTATCAATGATGAATGGATTTCTTCACTTGCAGTGACTCTTTGCAGCAGAACATGTGAAAATGATAAGCTGCATTAACATCAGGCAGTTTCTCACTTGGCCAGTGCTTTCAGACTGTAAAAAGAACTACATAGAAACATAAGGTCACCTTCTTAATGGTCTTTTTTACATTTTGGGTTATAATTAGACATAAAAATGACTATCAGTCCATTATATGATCTGATAAAATCTCCTTACAGGAGCTTTAATGCATCACTGTAACCAGGGCTGGACCGCGGTATAAACAATAAAAGTGGCCGCATAGGGCCACAACCAATGGGAAGGGGGCCACATCACCCCCCCTCCCCCCCCAAAAAAAAGGAAGACAAAAATAACTAGCTAGCTACTTCTAGTTCTGTCCTGTGGAAAAGAACCTGGTGTTCAGGATGAAGAACACAAGAAAATGCAAGAGGTAAAAACATACAGATGGTTGCAGGACAAATTTACCTCCAGTTTGACTAATTTGTTTAATTTTTTGCTCATTTTTATCAAGTCAGGTCAAATCTACAATAATCTTTTCTTTTATCCTTACATTTTCTTTTCACAACATGTATAACTACAGTATCATATGTACTGTCCTTTTAACGTGCAGATGTGGCTCTGCCTCAGTGAGAGAGGAGGAATTCCTGAATCTCCCCCTGGACCTGATTCCTGGGGGTTCAGTGCAGCAGATGCTGCAGGAATATGAGACAGTAAAGAAGCTGGACTTCTTTAATCAACATCCACATTGTCTGATATGAAGCCACTCAAATGTTTCACTCTGCGGTTATTTTTGGTTGTTGTTTTTCCATGTTTACTGTACACAGTATCTGACAGCATGTTTTCTCTGCAGGAGACTGATGTTGATTTCTATTGCGAGTGTGGAGGCACAACATCAGCACAGTGCTCCACCTTCACAACCCTGCCAAAGTGGGTGACGTTACATCCATCCCAGACTCACTGTTTCCCCCTGTTGCAGACACATGCACAGATTATTTTCTCTTAATTTATCCTCAGTATTTTCATGCTCAGAAATTCCCTCAGTTTAATAATCCTGTGGTCATTCCCTCTCTGCTGCTCTCCACAGTTTCTTGGTGCTCCAAATTAAGAGGTTCCACTTCACTCAGTCCTATGAGCTGGTGAAACATCATGACCCCGTGGACCTCACCAGGGAATTAATTGTGACATCTAGCCAGGTAAGACATTTATGCGCCAAAGTGTAAGAGTGTAGAAGTGTGTGTGTGTGTTTGTGTGTTTGTGTGTGCTTGTTTCTAACAGTTGTTCTGTGTGTTTGCTCTCAGGCTAAGAGCTGGTACAGTCTGGTTAGTGTCATCAGTCATTTAGGCAGCGAAGGAAACAGGTAAAATATTCACTCAGTGAGGGTCAGATCAGCCAGTGCAGTCTTCTGTAAGGTCCTCAGATACATAATAGATAGATAAATGCCAATCAAATGCTGGAGTCTTTTAAGTCTCAGGAATATCAAATTAACATTAGCCTTCAAACCATGTCTTTGTAAGATAGATAAAACATTATGAAGTAACTGGATCGGTCTCATTCAGCAGAAAGTGCTGCCCACTCTTGGATCTTGGTAACATTTTCCATCATTTTACTTTCAAAGAACTGCTGAACTCCTAAGAATGTTTGAAGAAACTTGTTATAAACCAATTTTTATGATTTATAGTCACATAATTTAACATGTAAGCTAAAGCACCAGAATTAGAATTAGAAGTATACTTTTATTTTTAGAAATGCAGCCAAATAAAAGTGAAAGTCAGGGGCACAAAAAAAACCTCCAGTAAAGTACAGACACTTCAAAATTATACTCAAGTACTATATTTAAGTAATGCTACGTACTTACTGTACAACACTGTTCAAGACTTTGCAATTCATTGTATTAAAAATTCAGAGAGCCTACTAACTGTTAAAGTTTATGAAATGACACAAAACAGAATAAGTTTTGTTTGTGAGATCACTTGATTTACTCTTTGACTGCTGAGATCCCAGAGTCTGCTGTGTCTGCAGAAAAGGGGTCACTCTCCAGATTTGTCTTTAAGCCATCATGCAGCGTTACCTTGAATGTTCAGAGAAAATACTGAGACATCTGAGAAAATCTGTGTGTTCAGTTTTACAAGAGAATAACTTTTTGACATTAAGCCAAGTTGTGAAATGAACTCTACTCTGGTTCTTCAGTCAAACCTGCTCTGCGCTCAAGTTATGGTCCACTACTGCCCCCTGAGGCTGACTGCAATAATACCTAATTGTCACTATAATCAAGTTTTCCTACAGTGCATTTTGACTACTTCACCCTGACTTTCTTGGAGTTTTGATCAAATGTTTGCTCACACTAACGGATAATTTTTATTCCATGACCATCTTTACATCAACACATAAAACAAACAACAAACATCACGAAAGACTCACATGTTTATGGCTATAATTCTGTTCAGCTGGGTTTATCCAGAAATCTTGTCTGAAATTTGCTCCAACATTTGATGCAAACTCTTCTTCCTCTCCTGTTAGGACACTACATCAGCAGCGGGCTGCACCCTGATGTGGATCCTCCGACTGCTGGTGATCTTTGGCTGAATTATAATGACTCCATGGTCACAAGAGAGAATGTATGCCAAAGATTAGAGGAGTCAGCATATCTCCTCTTCTATGAGAAGATGGTGAGAAAAAAATTGTTAAACATAGATTATAATTAAAAAAGCTGAATTCTCCACAAACAGAGATCATTAACTGTCTTTATGTTTGTTTTAGGAATAAACAAGCCTGGCGATTGGGAGTTTTTCCTCGCCGCTGTTGCTTCTGACGTGTGTCTCAAAACACAAAATGAAATGAAAAGTTTTTGACTAGGAGTCTTAAGTCAAAAACCAGTGAAGTCAGGTAAGATAGATAAAATACTCCTTTATTTGTCCCGCAAGGGGACTTTTCCAGTTAGGGAAACAAAGGCCATTTTAATTTACTGTGTTTGAAATTGAAGGAAAAATATATTTGCATTAAATACACAAGAACCTAAGTTTTATATGAATAAAAACCAGTAAAAGGTGAGATCAGAGATCCCCTTTTTTAAGGAGACCTGGAGATAATATGATTTTGACTTTATACATTATCTTAAAAACATTAAATTTTGTCCACATATACTGTATGTACACACGTAGAAATGTCAGTGTTACTAGAATTTCTGGTAATTGAAAAGAGAGTAGGTCTAATGGCACAGGACTGATCTCCCTTTCCTATCATGCATTTTAAGGAATTTTATGGTGACTCAGTGAACACAGTGCCAAATATCATTATCATTGCCCAATACAGGTGTGTACACAGAAGCTCGTTGTTCCTGTCCACTGTTTCCAAGGAGGCTGACTCTTTCCCTTTTACACAAACATGTTTAGACAAGAATGAAATTTAAATTTTCCCTTGAGAAGCAATCACAGTTCCTCCCTGGTGAGCAAGAGATGAGGTGACACTCAGATTGTCATAAAAGGACAGGGTGTTATGCCAAAGATATTGATGTACGTAGTATGTTAAGTACTTTTGGCTATTCTGAACGCTCTAAGAAAAGGGGTGCTCTGTGAAAATGAGTTTGTCTAATTGTGGTCTACTTGTCCAATTAAGCCTGGACTCTTATCACAGGCTATATGAATTGAGAACTTAAGAGCCAAAGCACCCACTGCATTGTCGACATATCCTAAAAGGAGATACAGTTGACCACTTCATGTGTTTTGGTAGTGTTAATAATTTTATAAATGGTGTTGTCCTAGAAGCTGCCCACTGTTTTAAGTTCACAAACTATTCAAGCCACCAACAAGCGCCTAATATGTGAAAATTGACAGACATTTTTTTTTTTGTATGTTTCCTTCATTTACTAGGCCTGCTGCAGGTAGAAAATAAAGACAAGCACATAGCTTGTTGAAGCTGAAGCCTTACGGAGAACAGCTTCTCATGCGCAAGCGCACTGGTACTTCAGTGTCCCTCAGTAGGCGGAGTTAAGAGGTCAGGTGACCGCGGTCGTCAGAGTGGCCGCCATGTGGCTGAGACCCACAGTGTTATTGGGACTGGTTGGGTGCAGAGGAGTTGTCAGAAGCATGGTAAGTGTAACGCTCAATACAATGTATTTCAATAACTTTGATAGCGCGATGAGAGAATATAATGAAAGTACGTCCGGCTGCCCTCACGCTATAGGCTCGTTAAACTAGTTGTGCTATTTTTAAAACGCGGTGTAACAATTAAATGGGTCCGACGTTGATGCAGCCTTAAACGCTAGTTTGAACCGCAATGAACAGCTCTGAGACGCTGAATAAAGGTTCACAGACGGTATTGAAGGATGTGTTTGTTCATCCAGGTTAGATTTAGGTCCTGTGTCACGGACAGTGTACTCAAACATCTCCGTTTTTGTTCTATCAAAGTATGACTGGTGTTGCTAGCTGTCAGCGGTCTAAGGATTGTGCATGAAGGGATAAAGATGGCGTAAGTGTTTGTAATAATCCATGGTGACAATCCTCAAGACAGGTGATTTTAATTATCATCAGATTAAACAGAAGCTCCACGGTTTTTACACTCCCTTTATTCTATGAGTTTAAGCCATCTGGTTAAATAAATCTATTTCCCGATTTAACAGTTGTTTGAAAACTCACATGAATAGTTTTATTGTCTTTCTCAGATTAGTAGAATAATGTTTGTCAGATTAAGGTTCGTGAAGGATTTCAGCCTGAACCTGTTCTTTTTTGTAAAAGAAGGGTGTGAACGTTTTGATAAAACATATGTGCCAAAGAGCACTGAGTCATAATAAGGCCAAGGGTTAACTTCTGTATTCTTCCAGTCACCAAAAACTGCTGGTCTCATCTCTATCAGCATTGAAATAATTTTGCCCTTTGGTCTGCTTTGATGGACTTGAACCGGACAGTTTTTATCAGTATTACTCAATCACACATAATCACTTATCAATGTTCCTTTATCTGTGTTCCTTTCCCCCCCTCTTTGCAGTGTGCTCAGGTGAGCGACTGGCAGAGTGCCAAGACCATATATGAGTTTTCTGCCAACGATATTGATGGCAATGAGGTTTCCCTGGAAAAATACAGGTAATTAATTTCTGATGAAGGCTAAGATAGTATAACTGGCTGAAAGGGTGAACTAAATAAAAAAGAAGTAGTAACTTTTTTCTCACTTTGATCATGTCTATTCTGTTTTTCTCTCTTGCTAGGGGATTTGTGTGTATCATTGTAAATGTGGCCTCCAAATGAGGAAAGACCCGAGTAAACTACACTCAGTTAGCGGGAATGCACGCCTCCTACGCTGAGAAGGGTTTACGCATCATGGGCTTTCCATGCAACCAATTTGGAGGACAGGTAACAAGTATTGATTAAAAAAAGGGATATATTTTGTTATTCTTCCATTTATTCATTCATACTCTTTCAAGCTATTGACATTCAGGTGTTGTTAAGAAGTTGCTCAGGGCTCATTTTTAAATTTGTTCAATAAAAGAACAGTTGCTAAAAAAAAGTTTAATTTTAGACCAAATAAAAAAAGTGACATAATTCAAGCTTGCAGAATGTAAATCATTAAAAACAACCATAAAAATCATGTAAATCACTTAGATATGAACCAACATATGTGCAGGATTCCAGCTTATTATAGATACATTCTTAGATAAGTTTCATCCCATGCAAAGCTGACAATTTCCCCTTTCGATTTGGATTTTTGCTTCGTGTGATCCAGGAGCCAGGGACTAATGCAGAGATCAAGGAGTTTGCTAAAGGTTACAATGCAGAGTTTGATCTCTTCAGTAAAATAGATGTGAACGGGGACAATGCCCATCCTTTGTGGAAGTGGATGAAAGCACAGCCAAAAGGCAAGGGACTCCTGGGAAAGTAAGTATTTTCTTATTTACATAACAAACGAGTCTCATGACACTGTGTACACAGATTGAGGAGCAGCCATCAGTGGAACATTCATTTTACTCAGAATAGTTATGAATGAATGAGGGTAAACTGACTTGATGGGGAGCCAGGGTGTCATTGCACTATGATGTGTTGGGAAAGTGGAAGTGAACTCTTGTTTTGTACATATCCTGTTGAAATTAAGTATTGCTTCACTACACACCTTTAACAACTGTTTTAAAATTTTCCTAGGGTTAAGTATATGTAAAAACCAACCTGTTGACTTAACTAGGAAAGTAAAACAAACAGTGAGATAACATGTCATTGTTGTGGTAATGTCTCAGGATATCAAATTGTCACTGTTTTGATGTTGTAGCAGTTGTATTTCAGTCCAACCAATTTCAGCTAATTAGAAAGTCTACTTCATTTAACAAAGAAATGAGGTGTTGTTGGTTATGCCTCTAGGTTGTGATGTAATTATGTTTTTGTTTCCTTCCACAGTAACATCAAATGGAACTTCACCAAGGTAACCTGCTGAACTTCTGTGAATTCTCATTTTGCTAAGGCATATTCAGTCAAATTTTGTGCATTTATTGTGTATCAACCATATGAAAAATGTAAGTTGTGCTAATATTTCAGTGTCTTATTTCTCCATAGTTTCTGATAAACAGAGAAGGACAGGTGGTGAAAAGATATGGCCCAACAGATGATCCTAGCGTAAGTGGCACTTAATTTGCTTTCTATTTTACCTCTGTATTTTGCTTTAAAATACAAAATACTTGCATACATTTTTGGTGCATACCCGAGTGTCTTACTATTTCAATCGGTGCAAAAATGTATTGTATTTATCTAGGCATTTTATTGCTTTGATTTTATTATTGTTAGCAATAGTATAATTACAAGAGTAGAGGAACTGTCAGCCAGTAATCCATTGGTCACATGTGTGCCTTTTTATCTGGACTTGTATTCTACATAGAGGACAGTCTGTCTCTGTCCATGGTGCTGTAGTATTGCTTCTGCCTTCATTATTCATAACAGTATAATTTCCCTTCTTATTTCTTTGCAGGTTGTTGAAAAGGATCTACCAACATACCTGTAAAACTGCGGCCTCACCAAACTATTATCATGACTCCTAACCTCTTCGATGGACTTCAGGGTTTTGATGTGTGTATCTGGACCAGTGATGGCCTGTCTGTAAACCCTACAAAGGGAAAGGCAGGCTTGATGATCCTCAGCGTGCAACTTATCTCCAGAACCACACTCACCAAACCCACAAGACCATGTGAGAGGACATTCACTGGTTCCTCAGAACAGGGACTCTCCACAATTTACTCCCTGCAAACTTAAAAAGCCATTCCTTTAATGTAACCCACCAGACAGTGCTTCCTTTAGGAGGGTATATAGCTTGTTTATGTGTCAATACTTTCTGTAAGGACATAAAATGCCATTTATTTCACTTATTTCTGAAAAGCTACTGATAATTTCATTTGCACTTACTGCTGTAACTCATGACCTTTCATGTGATACAATTGAAAAATAAATGCTGTCAACTGTCACTTTTTCCCTTCTGGTTATCTCTAATTGAGCAATAACTTTTTGTTGTGAATTGTAATTCTTTTATTTATGTTTATTTTACGTACCAAAACATGTAAAAAGGGATGAAGGTAGTAACAATGGTTTAAAGAAAAAGAACCAAGGTTAAGTAACGGCATCCATGCTAATTGATCAAAGTTTATTCTTTGAGGTTCAACAACAAACTTAAAACGAGCACTCGGCCGAGAAAAACACTAATACAATGCAAATGGTAAGCTGAGGTAACAAGAAAAAACAGCAAATGCACTGTAGGCTCCATTGCCACCGGAGGTCTGCTCAGTCCAGCCACTACCAGAGTCACACACCCTTTCAAGAAGGTCCACACAGGATCTCGGACAGGAGGAAATGAGAGAGAGAGAGAGACAACAGCACTCTCTTGATTTATATAGTCTGCTGCTCATCAGCAGATCAGCCACACCTGCCACACCTGTACTGCAGTGGAGAAAACCTGCAGGGAATGGACACCCAGGGGCATGTAACAGTTTATTTTAATATTAAAAGAATATGTACAATATTTCAGCCCAAAAAGTGTCATTCAAAATGACATAAAAAATTATCACAACTTTGTCTCATCTCAATATTAGATTCAAAAATAGTATTTAATCATTTTTGATACCCCCCAAATACTCCCCCCAAAAAATTACCCCAAAATATGCTTGATGTGACTTACAATAGTTTTATTTATTTATTTTAACATTTAAAGAAGTGTGCACAATATCTCAGCCCAAAAAGTGTCATTCAAAATGACATGAAAAATTATCACAACTTTTTCTTATCCTAGTAGTAGATCTAAACATGGCATTTAATCATTTTTGTGAAATTGTATTAAATGTATTGTGCTTTTCTTTTTTCAAGTGTGCAAATCTTGTTGTTCAGGTACTGTGTTAAATAGTGTGTTTTATGTGAGTGTTATTTAATCAGCTAGAACAAGGTGTAACAAAATATACTTAAAATATGCTTAATGTAGGCATTGATAAAGTAAAACCACTTCATCCTGTTGAATCGTTTGAAGGGTTGTGTGTATAAACAATCCCGGTGTGATTTATGGTCTGATCATTTTTATTCTCAATTAGATTACACACTACACTGATGTTGTGTCTATCAAATGTATAAAAGTTGAAATATTACATTAATTTGCCCTGTTTGTCTTTGACGGCCATCATAATACCCAGACGGTTCAGTCTCCATAATACTGTCACAGTGCTGTTGTAACGGCGACTAGTCTGAGCTCATTCTCTGATGCTGTAGCGGCACGCGCATCAGCCGTTGCGTGAGAATGATGACGCACTGTAGCGGCAGAGATGATCAGCACCGCTGGATGTGGATGTGGATGTGTGGTGGCATTTGGCTAAGTACGGCAACAAATACACTCATGTAGACTGATGTGAACGTAATTGCAGCTGTGAAAATTGAAGAAGAGGAAATGACAGGATTCCTAAATTCCTTCTCAGCGCTTACCGCCTCAACCTGGTGTCACTGAGGAGGGTAACGGTTGCGCGTCGTCCGGGAGATGGACGGGGGGACTGCGGAAACCGAGGATGACGGGAGAACCAGCGGGGAAACGGCCGCCGGCCCCTGTCTACAGCTTGACCTGGGGGAAACCGGTGCGTGTATTTCTATTTTTTTGGGCGTTGAAATAATTTTGTTTCGGACAGCCGCAGGGTCCTATCAAATATGAGGGTTTATTCAAGCCTGGCTTCCGGTGACAGCAAGAGCAGTGTGGGTAGAAGTTGGACTCAAAGTGGGCAGCATCTTACCGAGCATCATTTCATTATACCTCAGCACAGTGACCTAAAAGTCTAGACAGCTTGAGAAAAATGCCACTACTGCAGGAAAAAACCTGTAGTTAGTGGAACCTAAGCTGTGGAGATGAATAATAAATTGCTGGGTTAGATAACAGTGTCAAGATGCAAGTCAGTGCTGCTCTGTTGTAATGGCCCATAATGTTAGTGGCTCACTGCAGGCTGGCACACACTCAGATTCACATACAGCAAGTGGTGTGTACGCACAGCCCATCTGGATCTGATTCAACCACATAAGGATGAGTCTAACATCTTAATGGCATGACCGTGAAGCTGTAGGGCCACACACACATGCATACACACAAACAACCTTTGTATGCACAGCAATACTATAGTCAACATGCACTTTGTCCCCTCAGGTGTCATTTTGCTCTTCTCGTCAACCTCTTTCTGTCCCCATAGTACTTACCATGGGTCTCCCCCCCTTCTGGGCCACATCTAAAGAGTACTTTACATAATCTAATGTGGAATTATATCATAAACCACACTCTAATCCCTTGTGGGTAACAATTCCAAGTGTCTCTGTGCATGCCATGGCTACGAAAACAACAACAACACAATACAACAGATACATGTGTGTGAACGTGAGTGACCGTTTATGAAATTTATGTGCACGTTATAGACAAAGAAGCACTTGAGTGGGTCCTGCAAGTTCTTTTAGCACATGCATGCTCATGTATATTTAGCTGCATATGAGTACTGATGATAATTGTTAAATCCATCAGATTAATCTTGTGTGCAAAGAGCCTCAGGGCATAAAAATCTGCTCCTGCATCGAGTGACACATTAATGTCACAGCAACAGGCCACTACTTTCTCAGCTAAGAGAGAGAGCAAGAGATGTAATCCTCTTTGCTATGACATCTACACAAACAGGCCTTAAGGCACAATTCGCTTACACTTGCACAAAATGTTTAATTACGAGACTATTTGAATGAGCTTTCTGTGGATTAACATTTCGACAGTGTTTTAACTCTCACACATTTTAACAGAGGTACACACAGGTAGCCTAGCTGTTACAGAGTTTGCAGGAATTCTGTTTGTTTACAGCTCAGTGGCATATTATTCTGGCCTGACCCTAATCCCACAGAGACCCATTGTGTGTGCACGCCTGCCTCAGGATACTCTTCCTCATTGTTTCTGCCCGACAGGCTTGAATATCAAGTCAATCGGTAGGTTACAGGTGTGGCCAAACACGGTGTGCTATCCCTGCACAAAATAAAATCAGTTGTATTAATGTCCACTTGGAGGGTGAGGTTTTCTGCAAAATTATCTTACTGTTATTTTGTGAATAATATGTATTATTCATTATGTTAATTTTGCACAAGTTGTTGAATTCGAAGTTTGTCAAGCACAAAAATAGCATTCAATCTTTTTTGAGTCATTTTTTGCTTTATTTACTCCATGAGAAAATATATATGCAATTTATAAATCATAAGACTGATGAGGAGATTACTTTCTTTTAAAGGGAAATAAGTGATAGTCATAGTCAAGTTTTGGATGCACATTTTTTCAAGGATAGAGAAAAAATAAAAAGCTCATCTTTATTGTTCAGTTTTCAACTGTTAGCCTTTTGCTTATGTGTTTTGTTGCTTGTTTTGATACATAATAGGTCAACTGGGAGATACTCCAACAGTAAGAAGCTGAAAAGGGGCATGCTGCCACCTAGCCTTATGGAGACTAGCACGCTTCTGTCAATAATTAGACTTTTTCTTGCAAACCTGGAACAAGGGCAATAGTCTGATTATCACTTAATAGATCGATAGATAAATGTGCATGTAAACGTGCTGATTTTGTGTCCGTAAAGACTTAAGTGAAGAAGAATTAAGTGTTGCCAGTGTACTTTGTTGCTTTTAAAGTAAAAACAAATACCACAGAATATAACAAACTGTATTAAATGACTGAAATGAAAGTTGTCTAAGCACATAGTGATCATATAAATGGTGTGTGTTATCAAACTGTGTGCACACACAGAGCCTGGCCACTCCTGACTATGCTGGTGCCCCAGCTGTGCTACCCCATTAAAAAAAAAAGTGTAAACACAAGTAGATTGTAACATTTCCAACCAAACTGAAGCCCCTATCACTGTTCCCGTTCAAGTTCACTTCCATGTGAACAGTAGCTGACTGATTAAGACCAATATTGAGTCACTCTATTCTCAAGAATCAATACACAGCATGGAAATAGTTTAGATATGTGACAAAAGATTGATTAAAAGCCAAAGCACATTCCGTATGCAGGCAATACGGTTTTGAGATAAAATACTCAGCATTCTCTCTATTAACCCCAGAGCTTCAAGTGTACAAATGTTGCTGAGCCAAGAGAACAAAAGAGGTTTTATTTTCTTAAATTTGAGGAGAAAAGGTTAGGCTATTTATTCAAATGTTTTTCTTCAATATGTGTGTATTAGTATTGATTGGATAATATTGAATGGGATGAAGCTTATGCTCTACAACCCTTACGTTTTTGCTGTGATTGTAGTCAGTTTATAGCTTGGTTGATGTTCCGCTGACTGACAAATGTCGACAACTTTGAAAATGATTGCTATCACATTTGATAGATTCATCCCCTCTTCCGTCTTTATCAAGGTTAAAGGGATATTCTGGTGTAAAATTAATTTAGGGTCAAATACACCGCAACACCAAGTTAGATACCTTGTCGAGAGATGAATATTGCCGCCGCTTGCTCCTCTAAATACCAACTTTAGTTACGACCGCACAATAGCATTACACAGCGGTCTGAGGAGCCACAAACAAACCTCAACCAAAAAGCCACTCTATAGCCACAAATAATGTTCAGAACAGCACCTAACTTCATCAACAGTACATATAGGGTCCTAGCCACAGCACTAGCCACCAAACATCTTTTTAACTTTGCCTAATTTCTTTAGCAAAGAGACAAAACACAACTCACCTACTCTCTTCCAGCAGCTGCTTGTTTGTAGCGAGACCTCAGGCTGGTCCATTACGGACTGCTGCGGGGTGACGCAGCTCAAGGAAGAACATTTATGATCACTTCTTCATGGAAATACAATCAGACCAAGATGCGAAGGCAGAAGAACTACCACGTCTGCAGTGTAAAATGATTATTATGGTGATTATTACTTCAAGGAAATGATAAAGAAATGATCATAAATGTTTTTCCTTGAGCTGCGTCACCCCGCAGCAATCTGTAATGGACTGGCCTGAGGCTCCTTGGACTGCTGTGTATTGCTATTGTGTGATCGTTACTAAAGTTGGTATAACTAGAGAAGCAAGCGGTCGACAACATTCATCTCTCGAAGAGGTGTCTAACTCAGTGTTACTGTGTGTTTGACCCTAAATTAATTTTACGCTGGAATATCCCTTTAACTGCAGGAATTTAGGAATCCAAAATATATTCAAATTAAAACCACTTTCATTATAATTAATTCATTAGAAAATGGTAGTATGCTGACTTGCCAAAAATTTTATAGCAAACATGCATAGCTCTAATGTGTAAGTAGTATTAACATGTAGAATTTTGATTGCATGATTCTTCAACAATATTCATGACCAACCCCAGGGAATGCCTTGTTAATAACATTATGGATACTCTTTGTAGTAACTCATGTTGTGCTTTACTGTGCCCGAGTGAGGGAAGTTTTACAACCCTCTTTGCTGTACATGGCTTAAAGATTCATTATCCATGCTTCATCCGCTGCTCTTCCTTAATCTTCACTTTCTCATGACCCGCAATTTAGCTTGATGATGATTTTAACCAAGTAGTTTGTGGTACTGCTAAGTACTATAAACCGCCCCCTCTCCCATTCATTTCCTTTCTTCTGGCTCTCTGTTTTCCTGTCATTCACGGACACAAACTGAGTTAGGGTGTTCATGTCAGTGGAAAAGAATCCTCATAATCCTAACCTGTGATTGGCTGGTCATGTGATCTGGAGACTTTAGCCAATGGCAGTACTCAGATTAGAGGGGGAAGACAATCCGGTACAGAGATACAACCTTCTCAGTACAAATCTCACTGAACCAGGAATAGAAAACAAAGACACTCTGGCAGACTGCTTGATGTGAAGCTCTCTGGACTATCAAACTGTTGTTAACCTGTAGGCACTCAAACTTCTGCAGGTGAGTTGACCACCAAAATATCTGGGAGAAGTAATGAAGCTAGATTAGGATAAAAGATGCTGGATCAGTTGAAATAGTCATACCACAGGATTCATCTGGGGCATGTCCAAGGTTTTGATCAGTGACTTCTTTGAGATATATTACGATTTTCTACACTTAAATTTCCACTTTTTGTGCACCTAAAAATTATCAAATGAAGAGCAGAGATTTCACAAAATCACTGCGCATAAACTTTTGAATTGAAGTGAATGGCTTGAAGATTAAAGTGGATTTATCTCCAGCTCACATTTGTTTTGATGTTGCAGGGTAAAAGTAAAGACCTCAGATAGGCAAAATTTGTAATGCAGGTCTAAAAAGTAATGTAAATATTTGCCATGATGAAAGGCTGGCAAAGTTTAGATTCCTTGCTAAATAAACAATTTAATAAATGATATTTCCAACACTGAATCTGGACTCTTGTTATCCTATTTCTTCCTCACCTTCTCTGTGTGTCTCTATCCACAGATCCAGCCAAGAGGGCTCAGATAACAGAGGTGAGACGCCGCTGCTCCTTGTTCACCTGTCTGACTCACGTGTTGTGTTTCCTAAAGTCATTGGCATTGGCTTTCTGCATGTTTCTGTTTCTTATGACCTCTAAAGGGACATTAAACATTACAAGCAGTATTCAAAATGGCACCTCTCACTTTGTATTCCCTTTTCTCTTCTTTTGACAGATGCCGTCCCCTTTTGGATCAGGCCCAGGTCATGAGAAGAAGATCGGCCACAGGAGGGTTGATGCCTCCGGAGAGACAACATATAAGAAGGTATAGTTCTCCTCTTCACTACTTTTGTTTTTTTGCTTTAAATTAAGTTTGTAAGTTTGGTTAACATCAGGATTTCACTAACTACTTGTTCCTGACACCTTTCTCTGATTTCTCTTTTCTCTGCTTCCAGACTACCTCCTCTGCCTTGCAAGGGGCCATCCAGCTGGGCATTGGATATACTGTTGGCAACCTCAGCTCCAAACCTGAGAGGGATGTGCTAATGCAGGACTTCTATGTAGTGGAAAGCATCTTCTTCCCCAGGTGCGTTTGTGTGAGAAGACATTCATATGCAAATGTGTGTAATAACATGCTATTATAATCTGTAATTATTCTCCACTCTTTTTATTGTTATGTTTCTACAGTGAAGGCAGTAACCTCACTCCAGCCCACCACTACCCAGACTTCAGATTTAAAACCTATGCCCCTGTGGCCTTCAGGTACTTCAGAGAGCTGTTTGGCATCAGACCGGATGACTACCTGGTGAGATTTCTTTTCTTTTTGATACGAGATGACAGAATGAGAGTGTTATGAAAGTGCTGTGAAAGTGGGCTACTTTCCCTGTTAGCTGTGGCATCAGCAGTACAGCAACCTTTTATGCAACAAATATGTTTATTTGCTCTACATAAACCAAAAGTTAAGCAACTACTAGTTAATCATAAGCTTTTAAATAACAAATCTGTTCAATATCTGCTCACTCAAAGTATTTTTTTTTTCTGGTTGACCATGATTCTGGTTCTACTTGGGTTGTCTGCGTGAGAGATGGAAATTTCCCCCCTCCATGGTGAATTCATTTAGGGTCTGTAAATAAAGATTACAAGGCTGTAACATAACCTGTAAATTATCATTCGATGATCTGTTTGAAAAGTGTTATAATTTTAGTTGTGCTATAGATGAAAATTTAATGGTTGATAATGTAATTGGAACAAAGCTATGATGAGAGAAGTTTGTTCTTCAGACAGCTGTTAGAAGCCGAAAGATAGTATTTTTTTTTAATTCCTTGTTTTCAACCAAAAAGGATCTGATAATGATGTAGCATGTTACTTTTAGTTTACATTACAGACAGAATCTTCCCGCCCCAGCCAAACATTGGTACAACACAGCACTCTAATCAGATTAACCTTCCAGTTTGACTTGCTGCGTCACTACTTCATTACTTCTAACTGTTACTGATGATATTACTACTGCACTTAACCTTGAACGAGCCTTTTTCATTCTTCTATTAATCTGATACTTTAATATACAGACAGCCTGCTCCACTATATTGTCATATTGTCAATGAACCAGAGGTCGTATGGTATGGTATGCAATTGAACTGTATCAGATCGTATCAGATCATATTGTATCGTATCGTACCGTACCGTACCGTATCACGTCATATTGTATCGTGACAGGCTCGTTGATGCTCACAAGACTTTAAGAACTAGCCACTAAGAAGAGCGTATCATGTAGGTTCCAAAATTCAACTCTAAGTTTGTGATGTAAGAGGACAGCTAATTAATAAGGAGCTTAAAAATTACCATTGTTTGTTCTGCCACTCTTTGAGAGAAAAGAAAAACAACCTTCTCATGAGTTGTAAGTCCAGATGTCAAAGGAAGCAAACACCTCATCACATTAGAGCTCTGGTCAAGGTGAACATACCACTCCTACTATAGATAAGATACCTGAGCATTAAAACAAAGATAGACAAAAAATAACATCCATCTACATATTTAGCATGTTGGCAGCATGCCTAGAGTACATATACACACACATGTATTGACATAAAGTGTTCTCAGCTTCACGTTTAAGCCTACAGTCTTGCTGTGCCAAATGGAGATTAACAGACTAAATCTTTCTTTTTTAAACTCCAAGCAACTGACAGCAGACAGTCAGAGAGGAGAGGAGAGAGTGTCTGTCTGAGTTTGTGTTCAAGGAGGAGAGGTGGAGCAGGGCGATAATTGTATTGTGCTGATTTAGAAAGCTGGCAAATTGAATTACTTTGTTGTACAAATTACTTACAAGAACTGGACACTACCTCCTATTTTACTGAATTAGTCTCCTAATGCTAACCCCCCACCAATAGAACTGTCTTCATGTCGTTTTAAACTGTGGCCAACTTCATTGTTTGGATTGATTTGCGTCTCTTGCAGTTTAAAGTGGTTGGCCTGATGTTGACTGAAAAGTATTCTCACAGCTAAAGTATTAGCTTCACTGAATTTACTGATACTGCAAAAAAGTTTAAATGTCATAGTGAACAGTTTAGTGTGAACCCCCAACAGTCTCGATGTGTGATTCTTCCCTCCCACACACAGTATGCCTTTGCACTCAGTAGTGCACTTTAAAGCAAAGTTCCCTTCTTGTTCAGCTGCTGATGAGCAATGCCATGTGAGTGGGTAGATGTGTGTTTTGGTTGGCTTTTTACAGCTCTGTTGGATCCAGCATTAAAAATGCTGAGCCTCCCTGCAGTACCCATGAAATGTTCAACTGCAGATGAGGGTGAAATTACAAACTCGGGTGAAACAAACATCCCACTTAAACTGGCTTTTTGGAGAACTTTACCAGAGGGATACAATCCTCTTCTAAAGCTTGCACAGCCGGCTTAAAAGCAGCTGATCAACATTTCTAACTGTTGTATGTTGAAACAGTCTTTTCAGAGATTGTGGCTCAGATTTCCATGTTTTGAGCGAGACATCAGCTCAACTGTTGATCTTTTTTGTCTCCCTGTGTCTCTGTCTCCTCTAGTATTCTCTGTGCAATGAGCCGCTGATCGAGTTGACAAATCCAGGAGCAAGTGGGTCTATATTCTACGTAACTCGTGATGATGAGTTCATCATTAAAACTGTGCAGCACAAAGAGGCAGAGTTTCTCCAGAAACTTCTTCCTGGGTACTACATGGTAAGTCAAACCATAGTCAATATATAAGTTCAGTGCAAAGGTGCAACATCTCTTAGCTTTGGCTCTTATTAGAAAAATAAATTAAAACCCTGTCAAGTTTTTAAGTGTTTCTATTCAGACCTTTGAGGAGGCGTGTTTAGTAAGACAACGCATGCCTCAGAGCAGAAACTTCCAGTCACCATTATCCTCTTTGCCCTGCCCCCCGTTGTTTGCCCTAGCACCAGTGACGCCAGCAGGTGACTCTGTAATTGAATTGAGCAGTGAGGTTGTTCCTGACAGAGACCCAGGCTAAGTACTCCTAACAGGCTAATCATGTACACAGCACAGACTCAAGAATGGGCTGAGGCCTGAGGTGGAGTCACGCTGTCCTGCAGGTGCATGGAGCTGCAGTGAGGCACACCAGGCCATATGAGGGCAATATACCCAATTAAAGGAAGCATAATCTGGGTGTAGAAAAAGGCAAACAAGGGGAAGGATGTCTTTATTGGTCATAGGAACGTATTGATCATGTTGATCAATGCATTCTGTCTGAAAGAACAGTTGCACACGCATTTGATGCTTTGCATTTGATGGCAGATTTGAGCAATTCTTCTGTTTTACACAGAGAAGTGGTTCCTCAGGCTCAATTTTTCTCTTTCAACTTTGCCCTTGTATGCGAAGATTACATCAAGGTCAGCCAATAACATGTTTTCTGAGGCAACAGATCTTAGTTTTATCTCTTGTCAAATCCCAACACAGCAGAACTGATAAGTGCATTTCCGCATTAAGAGCTGCTGTGTGCAGTAATGCTTGAGGCACAGTAGCAAAACTTCATTGATTATTTAATCTCTAGAAATCCCAATAGGATTGGTCTGGATCCAATTTGAATGAGTGGTACCAAAGATGGGGTTTCTGAAAATCCTAATTTACTCCATTTATCTGCCAGATCACATCTTTTTCCCCTCATGCATGTGCACAAGACAAGACACCGATCTGCACGTATGCATGTGTGAAATCGATTGTATTTAAGAGTTCCTATTTCACGTCATGGAGAGATGGGTGTTGAGGCTGTAAGAGGACAACACAAAGGCTGCCTGAGGTCAAGAAAACGTAAGGTTGTGGTTTACCTTCCTGTCCTCTAGAGTCTCCTGAACACAATGCCAAAGTCGGATAATGATGTCAGGGAAACAAAGGTTCTCAGCCTCCAAATCCGCTTCCCTGAGACCACATTCTGTTTGTCAATGTCAGTTTGGATAGCAACAGGCTGACATTGTGTTCAGTCACACCTGCACATGGATCCTGTGTCTCAAAAAGATAATCTTTAAAAGCAAAAGTTGAAACGAATTACAAAGAATGAGAGCATACTTAATATTGGAAAACAAAAAGAATGGCAGTTGCTCTTCACTGTACACTACTTAACTCAAGGTTTAAGTAAGAGCTGGTAGACTGCATGTCTTACTTTGCTTTTGTATCCAATGTCAATAATTCTCCCTATCTCTTCCCTTTTGCTTGCTAAATAAATCTAGAACCTGAACCAGAATCCTCGGACTTTGCTGCCAAAGTTTTTTGGCCTCTACTGCGTCCAGTGTGGGGGCAAGAACATCAGAGTCGTTGTGATGAACAATATTTTACCCCGCTCTGTACGGATGCACCTGAAGTTTGATCTAAAGGGATCCACATACAAGAGGAGGGCATCCAAGAAAGAAAAAGAGAAGTCCAAACCCACTTTCAAAGACCTGGACTTTCTGAGTGACGTTCCTGATGGCCTCACTCTGGACCAGGACACATACAGTGCTCTGGTCAAAACTCTGCAGAGAGACTGTCTGGTAGGAAAGAGAATGAGGGTGGATGAGTTTTTTGTATAGTTGAACTCTATATTTTATCTTCATAATGCAGCACAGCTAATCATGACAAAAATCACTGTTCTCTAAATAGTTCACTCTGAAAAAAAGAACCTAAATGAAGAGAATTAATTAATTTAAGAGAGAGAAATAGGCAGAGAAATGACTTGTGCATTTGTAATATCACTCTGGCCCGTCCCAGGCTTACAAATTTCTTTTTATGTCAGGTTCTGGAAAGTTTTAAGATCATGGACTACAGTTTGTTGCTTGGGGTCCACAACAAGTCCCAAGCTGAGCGGGAGCAGCAGTCTCAGGGCTCGCCTGCAGGGGGCGGAGATGAAACGAAACGTGCAGCTCAGAGAGCTTTATATTCCACTGCCATGGAGTCCATTCAGGGAGGCTCCACATGCCGGGACCCTCTGGAACACGATGACACGTAGGTGACTTTTTGTTGTCTTAACTAAAATATCATATGAAATAAACATATTATTATAATCTTCTTCTCTCTGTGTTTAGTATGGGTGGTATTCCTGCAGTGGGTGGAAAAGGAGAGCGCCTCCTGCTGTTTATTGGAATTATTGACATCCTACAGTCATACAGGTGGGCAACCAAAACAACAGAAGTTAGAGATAATACACTTGCATAAAGAAATATTTCAAAACTTTATTTAAAAGGTAGTTGCCTGAGAGTGCTGGGCCCACTCATGGAGTTAGATTTCATTTTTTGCAGAAATCATTTTTGAAAAATGTGGTTACGATTTAAAAACACAAACAAAACAACAAGTCAAGTAGGCGATCGCTGTCTCCAGCATTTGTTATTATTTTGTTGTTGGATATTTAAAGTGTTAAAATGTATTTAACATAGAAATTCACAAGTGTTTATTTTGCTCTCCTCTCAACTTCAGCCTCCAGTCAAAGCTCTATTTCTTATTTGGGTATCAGTTGCACTTATTGTTTCAGTCTTAAATACACAAAGACATTTCAGGACACATCAAACGACAAAGTTGGATTTTTGTCTCGCTACCAGGACAGGAAACAATTAAGTTTGGGCTTACAGTAATCCTGGCATTATGTGTCTGCAAGGAATATTAAAAGGCAGAGAGATCACGGCGGTAAAATCAAACCCAGACACATCTGTTTCTGCATAAGTACAAATGGAGACACCAAACAGCTGCTGCCAGGAAAAATATAGACAAAATAAATGTGCATGGTGCATGTGCAAAACCCAGACTTTTAGTACAGGTTTTTGAAATGCAAAACAGAAATTTAAAGTGGGACTGATGCAGTCCTGAGTCATTAGGTAACTTTTAAAAGTCAAGCTGAACAATTTAATTGTCTTGTTCGACAGACTGATCAAGAAACTGGAGCACTCTTGGAAATCCCTCATCCATGACGGGGTGAGTTACATAACTGTCTGGATTCAGTAAAAACAACAAATTTACCAAACTGCATCCAACTTTTAAGCCCTTGTTTGTGACTGTTGGTATTTTATGTAATAAATCAAACTATCATTAACACGCCTTCTCTCGGCTCTGGCCTTGGTCCTCCACAGGACACCGTATCAGTCCACAGACCTGGTTTCTACGCTGAGAGATTTTACAAATTCTGCAGCGCCATCGTTTTCAAGAAGAGCTGCTGTACGCTTATAATTTTTTTATGAACCACATCCTCAAATCAATAAAAATAATACTTTTTGACTGGAAAGTATGGACTAACGGTCCCCTGATTCCACAGCACTGCGATCATCTCCATCAAAAAGAGGACGAGGACCTCTCATGTCCAAGTCCAGTGCTGGCTCAGTTGGACAGCGCCCCTCAGTGAGTGACGACAGGCAGGAAAACCAGGACAACTTGGAGAACCTAAGAGGAGCTCGCAGCTTCCCCATGCTGGAGGACAACGGTAGAGCTTTTTTATCTGTTTTACTTCTGTAGCGATTGAAAATGGTACATATGCTGCACCAAAGATAGAGTAAAGATTCTCACTATGAGATGGATGGAATGGGATACTTAATACCATTACACCCTTGACTGAGTACTGTAGGACTCTTTGGCGACGTGTCAATGGCCTTCTTCAAAGCTTATAAAGGGATGTTTTGCAGCCTGCTCGAGCTGCTTGAATGAAACAGTTGAGAACAAAGCGAGTACTAGTGAGTGCTGGTTCTCCCTTATTCCACTGAGCCTCTCTGAACTTGGCACACTAATAGCTTCAATTGTCTGCAGCTGAGCGCGCCATTTTCCCTTTAAATGAAATGAAGTGAGCTTTTATTGATCCCCGAGGAGAAGTAGAAGTGCAGCGGCAGTATAGGAGCAATAAGCAGCAGCATCAAAGTAAAAGTTTAACTTTTAACAAAGCAAGGCTTGATTTTCACACAATGAAATGTAACTGGATGAAGGAGGAGCATTGTTCACTGCAGCTTTATTCATGAAGGTCAAGAATTCAATGAATTGATTATTTCTGGTTTTATTGAAGTAATTTGTTTCTTTTTATTGTTCTTGACCACTTTTATGTTTTTTGTATTAATGTTAGGCAAAGAGCCACCCTGCACTCCCCCTTCTTTTGAAGATGCCACCACAGCTTCTATTGCAACCACCCTCTCCTCCAATAACTCCTTACCCACAACCCCTTTCGATACACCTGAACACCCGCGCTACAGGAGACAAATGCTTTCCCCAAATGTGGGCAGGTAAGAATAACACCATAAGGATTTATTTGTAATGATGTTATTTAAAGAAAAAACTGCCTTTCCTTCCCGTACATGTAAACTCTGTATTGTTCTGTGTGCTTTCAGGTCACAGAAATTTGATATTCGTGGGGAAAAGCAGGAAACCATAACAGTGGAGGTGGAGCTCAGGTACATACAGAGCAATGCTAGAGTAGAGGGTGATTTGTACAACGCTTATTAGGGCCACATTAAGAAAAAAAAAAAGTAAGAAGATATCGAGATGAAAATAGTAACACAGTAATTACTCACGAGAATAAAGTCAGAGTAAAGTCCTCATTTTCTAACCTGTTGCTTAAGATGACAGTTGTTAAAATGAGAGCCATGGAGCATTTCGTGAAAATGTACTTCAATATGGGTTTCTCAAACAAGGACATACTTAATCTTTTGGCACATCAGCACCACATTATCATAAGTATCATAAGGTTTTTATCATGACTTTATTCTCTTTAGTAATGACTTTATTCTCATAAATTAACGACTTGAATCTCAAAGTCTTCATTTTTTCTTTCTTTATGTGGTCCTTGTACTCCATTGTAGGTATGTAACTGCCTGTGTTGCAGTATTTTATCAGTATTTTAGTGAAAATATTTTAGAATTACTATTGAAGAGTGGTTTTCAATCAACACTTTTTGGATTCCTGGCTGTCAAGTCACACGTTTTAATCAGGCTTCCAACCCTGCCATCGCACTGAAATAATTATTTTTAAACTATGAAGTAAAATAAGGCTCAGTACTAATGCAGGGAAAGAATTGGTTTCGGTTTGGTTAGATCGTGATGCCACATTTGTCACTGACCACAGACTATGCTTGAGAGTTTGGAAAGCAGGGTTGGATTCACAGTGGCAGTATTGAATTGCTTGAGTTGTATTTAGTTGATCAGCAGAGCAGAGGAGCAGTATTGATTACCAAAGCTATGAAGAGGATACTCAGCTGTCACACCTGAGCACATGTTTAATGCAAGTCAGTGATTGAATGAGCTAAAATGTATTTCAGATTACTTTTACTGAACAGATTATTTTTACTGTGCTGAAGAATCTAAGTACATTCACACCTTGAGTCCCAGGCGCAAAAAAACTAAAGAGCAATTATGTAATCCCGGGACACTCATAGACTTTGTTTTGATTTTTCTAAAAAGTATCAAAGTATCTCCAAAATAGTATTTTATCATCTAAAAAGTAATGCCAGAATTAGGTAGCTTGTGTTCCAAAAGACAAAGAAAGACTCATGCAGGTTTTTATTTGGGTGGAGTCCTGTAGAGGTCATTTAACTGAAACAGCCAAACATCTTTAAATCCAGGTTCAAAACATTTCGGTTTCCCTGTGCCTTTGGATGAACTCTACAACCTGCACTCTAAATTCATTGCACTGTAAACTTAATTTACTGTTATCACATGGCACACATAACTGTTATGTAATTCTAAAATTATTTTATTTTTATTTATGTTTGACTGAATCTCCTTAAGTATGATATTATGTGCTGAGTGTTTGATTTTTGTGTTAATATTATTATCTTCTGTCTGTTAGAAAAATGTGATCTCATCCTCGCTTGAATTCTTGTTCATGTGAAGCACAATCAGGTGCCTTTGTGTTTGAAATGTGTTCGAGGAAACTGCTGTCTGGCCTTACAGAATCTTTCTATTTTCTCTTTTCACAGTAAAATCCCAAAGAGCACGGAGCTCACACAGTTGACAGAGAAGACCTCCCCCAGCCACCTCTCACCTGATCGTATCATCCCTTCATCCGTCCCTCCCTCTACCGCTCCAACCTCTGCACATTCTTCCTCCACCCTCCCTCCATCCTTTATGTCCTCCTCCCCTGCTGTCCAATCAGCTGGCCATTCCTCCGCCACACTCTCTTCATCAATTCGCCCCTCCACCAAACCCCTCACCTCTCCTACAGCCGCCCAGTCCTCCTCTCTCTCTTCCCCAACCAGACAAGCCAAGTTTCTCACTCCAGTCCCCAACCCCTCCACCCTTCCTCCTGCATCGGCATTTACCCCCATCTGCCCTGCATCTCCCCACTCCTCAACCCAGAGCTCCCCTCACCATCTCCCATCCACCCCGCCTTCCTCCAACCCCACAAGCCCCCAGAGGCCTCATCTGGTGCCGGGTACATCGAGCAATCAGCTGTCTGTGTCCAGCAGCCACAACTCGCTGGATGGGGAGGTGCAGGTGTCTGACATCTACTTTGTAAGTTTCATCCGTCATCAGTAAGATTTTTTGTTTTCTTTTTATTTTGTGCTGCTGGTTAACAAAAATGGCTCAGGAAGCTGATATACAATCTGCCATGAGCCAAAGAGCAGATAAATAAGTTTTCTTGTGCAACAAGTGATGGTTATCTTAACTTGCTGAACCACTGATTGAATGTATGTGTACGTATTTTTAATGGCAGTTAAAGAAGCTTTCTCTGGGGTTGTTTTGAGGGTAAAGATATTTTTTCTTCTGTGGGTCTCTTGCAGTGGCACAGTCAGGACAGCGTGGTAGAGTTATGATGGTGAGGGGGTGGAGGGTGTGTGTGTTTTGCAGTCTGCACGTACCGTGGGGTTGCTCTCGCTCTCAAAAAAGCTTTTTTTTTTTCTGAAGCACGATGCTGCCAGCAGAGTCATAGCTCATGCTTTTGGATGAATCAGCAAAACAATAGGGTTGTCTATCCTGCACAGCATGAAGTACTTACATCTGTCAATCTGCATTCAGGCATCTTGTCAATGTCATACACATCTCTCCATAAATCTGTCCCTCTGGTCATTTTTTTTTCTGCTGCTCATATACCATGACTTTCTCCTCCATTATGTTTTAACACATCCTTCCTCTTTGTCTTCCTGTGCACTCTTTATATGCATTTGTGTGTTCATCTGTTTGTGTGTGTGTGTGTGTGTGTGTGTGTGTGTGTGTTCATCCATCAGTATGCAGATGGCAGATACTGGGTTTACTCTCCAGTTCTTGGCCGCCGTAAGCTAAACTCTAGCTCAAGTTCCAATGTAAGTCACTACCTCGATAGCTAGAGTCATTTGTTCCACATCCCATCCCATCCTAATGCTGGTAACTGTCACAACACAGCTGCTTATGGATCTTCAGAAGTACTTAAAGCAACGTAAAAGTGCACATTCACATTACTTATTCAGCGGTAATGTCTGCAGAAAAGCCATTGAATTTTAAAAACTGCGGCTTCTGAAGGACCATTGTGTGTTTTTAGATTGAGCATGAATCTTTTTGTAACCTTTTAGCCATAAATATTAACTTCAATTTGTTAGAATCTTGGACCTGCATCACTTCAATGTAGCTGATATTGTCCAGTTCACTTTTAATGACGCTCTGTGGTACTTGGCAGTACACAGAAGCTGGCAATCTGCTGTGAACTGAAAGTGCCCAAATACTAAGAAATCTCTCTTCCTGATGCTTGAAATAACCTGTTTATTAAAGCTTTATCAGATATTATCCAAAGTTACTGATTATATAGTTCTAAATATTTCTTTGTGGTGTGGAATACTTATGGCTAGTTGTCAAAAATAGTAGAAAAATGAGTAATTCAATAAGAAAATACAGTTTATTATGAATAAAACAACATTCAAATCAATGTTAAATATTAAAATTATGAAACCATAGATAGAAGCTAGACTGAATAGATTCCCTGTCAGATCTTGTAGCAGGCAGTTCCCACATCTAAAAGCTTAAATAAGCAGCAATATGTCAGAGGTTTAGAGCTAATTTGCTTCTTCGTGACTGTGTGGGTGAGCTTAGATCTAATAGGATGGAAAATGCTTATAACAGAGGCAAACAACCCCACCAGATAGATAGAGAAATAGAAACTTTATCAACTCACGGGGGGATTCAGATACATCCTATAGCTTAAACGTAAGGAAAAAAAATCGATGTCATTTGCTTAAAATAGCGGGCAATAAAAAATGAAAAAAGAGAAAGAGCTAAAAAATCAATAAATTATGTATTTAAGTCCCTGTAGTCAATATTCTAGATTTATTCGGAAGAGAGATTTATACAGAAAATACAGACAACACAGTATTCAGCAAGTTTTATCAAGTCATATTGATTTTCAAACTATGTAGCACCATCTCTTTCCAACTGCGTGCTTTTGAATCGACCACAACGCTTGTATGTAAATGTATGTATTGCAGTACAGAGCTCCAAACATGAAACTATCCTTACAGCATCAGAGTTTTTTTGTTTTGTTTGAATTCATCTTTTTCTCACTCTTCTCTCATGACTCTCCTCTTGTCTCCATCCTGTGCTGCTGCCCTCTGCTGGCTGTGTTTGACACCAGCAGAATCAGGAGGACCGGGGCTGGGTGTGCTCTCCTCTGCACTACAGCTCAGAGTCCAGAAGAGACTCAGATGGGGAGAGCGAGACAGTGAGTGTACAATTAATCATTTATATAATACATTCACAGAAAATACACTCTTTACCCCCGGCTTCTTTTTATTTTCTTTGGTCTTTCAGTAACTCGTACGGACAGAACAGTGATGGGTGGAGGCTGTCAACATATACGAAAGCTGCCCAGACTGCTTGTGGAAGTGAGCAGCAACAACTCAAAAAAATTCAGACATCAATAAAGCAAAAATATATGCAAAAGAAAACCTGAAAGCATCAAGTCCTGGACAATCTGACATTACGCAACGACATGAACAGAAATCACATGGTACAATCAGCTGGGAGGCACTGTGAATATCTTAGATGGCTGCTGTTTGATGGTTTATTATAGGAGTCATGCTGTACTGTGCCCGCTCTGGCTATGCAATATTAAACATACAAAAACTTAAATCATGCATTTATTTTTCACTAGGGATATGGAAAAGTTGTATATATTTTTATTTGTAGCACTTTATACATGTTTATGTGGCTGCAGTCTTTTTAAATCTTATGATTTGTAATTTTGTTATCTGTTGATATTGAAAACACTGTACCGAGGTAACGTGTTCATTTGTGTGCTGTCAGTGGTGGTCCACAAAACATCTTAGTTTGTATGACAATGGATGGTTGTGTTCAAAATGCCTTATTGAAAAACACATTTTCATACCTGTTTTTGATATTTCAATTACATATTACCATGACAACAAGAAAAAAGAAACTCTAAAACCAAACATACAGTATTTTATTTTCCATAAATACCAAATCTTCCAAGCTGAGTTAAAACAGTAAAACACGCGTACATCATATCTTTCCAAGAGAAAAAAAGAGAAACAAAGACATAATGATGAAATTATCTTCTGTGTGTAGATAAACTGTGTATGTGTGTGCTTCAGCACATGCATGTAAGTCTGTTTGTGCCCTTGTGTCTTTGTGTGTGCATGTGTTTGCATGCATATCGGTGTATGGTTGGGAGACATGTAAGTGTAAGTCCTGCTTATTTGTCAAACTGTCGAAAGGTGCAACTTCCATTTGTTGTTACGGGCCATGAAAGTCGGAAGCAGCTATGAGCATGTTGGCTGTGCAAGAAAAATGACTAATACGGTAGAAATCTTGACAATTTAGCTAACTGAATATACTGAGCTCAACTGAGATAACATGTTTTCTATTCAGTTCAGTAGGCAAACATTAAACTACCACACATGGTTGGTGTTTTCTTCCTTACTTGTTGCAATAAGAATGACCAGAATTAGACTTCCTGACTGTATCGATAAGCAGAGCTGTAACATATCATTGTATTCTTTGAGTCTGCTGAAGTAACCTGCCTCTTTGCAGGCAACAGTGTTTGTAGCTGATCACTGTGTAAAAGAAAATAAAGATTATATTGTGTAATAAAACATTTTTGTTGATTTTGAAAATATTTCTCAAATGTACAGAATTTACTTTTTGGTCATTTGCACCACAAGGCCACTAGATGGCAGCACAACGTCTCTTCAGATATTGTTCCAATCTTGACCCCTCTTGAGGGAAATCACACTTTCTTCTGGACCACTTAAAAACTGAAGACTCTTCCTGCAGTAAAACTATGAAATTAGATAACACAGAGACATATGTCAAGCCCTAATTTAATTTCTTGTGATCTTTATGAATCATAAAATAAGGGTTTTAAACTCCCATACTGCATCCTTCTGATCCAATTAACACAGAGACATAACAATAACAAAACGGAAAGCTTTACAATGGCTGGCATTGAATTTATCTGCACAGGCTTAGCTGCTCAACAGAAATTGACATAAAACAGGCGAGGATCAATATGGCCTCAACTAAAGCAGCCCACTGGGATCTGAGCTGCAGTAACACAGGCTCTCTCTGTATTTACATAAATATGTTCTATACAGGAAAAGGGAAAAACATAAATCACTGAGGTAGGGTTAGAGTATTTTCTGCATTTAGATCAAAACTTACTTCAGAACACACAATTGTGAATGCAGTGTTTGTATACTGTAGTCCTCACATGTGCGCTCATACACATGCGTTCCTGGGTGTCTGCCTCTACCTCATGCGTAAGCCAGAGTTGTGAATGTGACTCAAGGTGACGAGTCAGCCGTGGCGGTCCATGATGGAATGTGTGATGGACAAGGATCAGCGGCCACCTGCTTAATTGTACAGGATGAAACTATCCCTCTGCTTCCTTTGCCACGACTTTTATCCCCTTCAACCTGATATGCAAGCAAACACACACACACACACACACACACACACACACACACACACACACACACACACACACACACACACACACACACACACACACACACACACACATCTCTGATCCCTTTGTTCCTGTTCAGCCTGAAGATTTCCTTCACTTCTACTTTCATGCGAGTGATTTGGTGACAAAGGATTAATGTGGCACCCTATGTGAGGACAAGAGAGAAAACAAACAATAAAAACTGAGTTTTTATTGCTTGTCCGTCTCAGTCTCCTTGCTCATAATTGGCGGGAGGTGAATTACCTTGATGTTTTAAATTTTTTTGATTATTTCAATATAAGAGATAATCATATAGTTTACAAAGATCAAAACCAGGCTCCACTTGGAATTCTTACCAAACAAAATTTCTGAGCATCACAATTACATTTTTTCTTTTCTTCCATCTTGCACTTTATATTTCGTTGCCTGTGTCTACCTCTGATCCCTTAGAAGTTCAATTTTTCAATTCCAAAGCTTATAAAAATTTAGCTTCACACCATGTCAGTGGTCCATCTCTCCTCAAAGCAGCTTTTAGGCATTATTCCTGTAATGAAGTCAGACGAAAGAAGGCACCTCTCTTGAAATATGCAGGAAGCTAGAAAAGAGAGAGAGGGAATAACATGCAGAAAAGGGGCTGCCAGTTGGAATCAAACCCAGGCCACACACTCGAGGACTGAACAACCAGGCCAGCGGCACCCCTTGAGTGCACATTTTTGAGAACCACAATAGGGATGCTGTATTGAAACTGAGACCTGGATAAGCTTCCCATGTGCAAAAAAAAAAAAGTGTGTTGATAAATGCTAATGTTTCCCTATTGTTTAAAAGAGTTAAAGCTCTAATGAGGAGTTTTAGCTCTGTATGAAACAGGCTGAAATTAAAACTCGTCTCTACATTTACCTTTAATGTCTATAACCACTGTCAGCTGAGAGCCTTTATTGACAACTCCCACGGTAAAGATTCACAATTATTGACACCACTGACTGCTCAAAGGCCGCAGGGGATGTTCTTCAGAAAACAAACATTTACATGAACAGAGCAAGATCAACAAGATCAAGAAAGAAGGTTTACTAGTGTTGTCCATAGGGGGCTCCAAAAGTGACACAAACTTAAAATCTCTAATAGTACCTTTAAATGAGCCCTATTATGCTTATCTTTATTTTAATCTATAAATTTAATGTGAAAATTTTGGATGTCCACACCAAACCTCTGCAAAGTTTCATAACATGCTATACATGCGTGGTGGTGTAATCCCTAGATGTGTTTCTGGATTCTCTGAACAGCTTGTCTTGAGACATGGCTACAACTTGACATCAGGCTGTGCCCTCGTAGTAATACAAAGCTACTGAAATAATTGTGCACTTTGTTGACTCTGTACACCTCAGGAAGTTGCTTTTAAGGGTTGTTAGGAAAAAAAGTCACAGTTAAATGTGTTTCCCCGAAGACAAAAGCTGCAGAAAACAGTGTGAACTTTTTATATTTTTAGACAACAACAGCCATGTGTTTGTGCTCACCAGTTTACCAATGACTCTTTTGTAAACGAAGGCCAGAACAAGCTCAGTTTACATCTCAGCTGTTACTGTAATCTGGGGCTGTTCCATTTGTGAAGACTCATAAAGGCTCAGAACCACAAGCTGTAAGTTAAATCATACAAGCAAGCGATTTAACAGAAGCAAATGTACGCTAACTGGGAAAACAGCTAAATCAAAGCGTTTCAGGCAGTAGCTGAAAAGTGCAGAAATGAGGATTTTCCTAAGTGCCCGTGTTTGTTTTTTTTTCTTTACCTTTAAATCATGCAACGCTACTGAACAGCTGTCTAAGACTGGTCTAATGAAAGGTGAAAATTAGTTTATGTAGGTGTCCTTGATGTGGTTTATCAAAATGACGCGAAAACAGTTTCTACACAGCAAACATTGAACTCTCAAATCTGATCTGATGGTTGTGGCTAACCCAATCTGATCTGAGTAGGCCTACTACTAAAAATCTTTAACTTTCACTATCACACATTGGAAAAGAAAGATGTCTCCTCTGCTGTTTGTGTCTTTTGGGATATTCAAGTTATGTGTAACCACATGACTTCTGATGAAATTTTTGGGTCTTTTAGAACTGTATATATTATGAATTTATGTCCTTGTTCTTGTTGTGTTTTCCTTCCTTACCTTTATTCAAGGAAAAAAAAAGCTTTATAAAAAGAGTAACTTTGAAAGTTTGCTTCTTTATTTTATTTTCCTGTGATATTTCTAAAGCAGCTGTACTGTTGACCCTTTTTATATAACAATGCATGACTACAAAGGGGTCCTTGCATCACCTTGTGGAAATAATTCAGCTTTTTCATGTCTTTTCTGGAGACTAACGTGTTCATTAGGTGCAGATGGAAGTTGGGCTGGAGACACAGACGGGCTGAGAAGAGAAAAAACTGTGAGATGGTCTGTTATATTGTTTTTTGTCTCAACACATGAGATGTCACAAACAACGAAAAAGAAATTTCTCATATTCTTCTAGCACTGATGTGAAATTAGGTCTTCCTGGTTGTATGAATTAAAAACTATAATATATATTTGATTTGGTTTGTTTCAGCTCTTTACCCTGCATGTTGGGATAGCATCAGACACCTGTGACTTTGAACAGAAGCAGAACGGTCATAATTAACATAAAAGCCCACAGAAAAGGTATTAATCAAAGGAAAACAAGAAGACAGAAAGAAAGACAAAATAAATTTAAAACAGATTTTAGTGATTCCAAGAAAAAAAAACAGAGTTAGCATCTGAACCAGGGTGAAACGAACCAACACGAGGCTAAGCTTTTATCTGCGGGGAACATATACAAATGGCTTTGTTCCTTCAAAGGACAGAGGGGCGAAAGCCACAACAAACAGGGCCAGCGTGTGTGTGTGTGTGTGTGTGTGTGTGTGTCTTGCACGTGAAAAGAAGAGAGAGGGAGAAAGAGAAAGAGCTGAGAGAGATCAAAGCAGGGGGTATGTTTTTGAATCTCTGTGTGGGAGGTGAAGCCTCACCTACCCAGAATGCCTTGCCTCACTCCTCACAACCCACTCAGGTTTTTAGGAGCATCACTTCTCTTCTCTTAGCAGCGGGCGGATTATGATTCTTGCTCTTCATCAGTCATCCCGAGCTATTCTCAGAGTGTTGAAACAGTGACTCGGTTTGAACCAGCAGTCGACCTCTGATCAGCGATAAAGAAAATGCATTTCCTTTGCATAGAGTTAACATTTCAAAAGTTATGTAACAGGAAGTTTCAGACAAGTCATCGGATGATTGGACAAGACAAATAAGCACTTAACACAAAACAAGAGTACGGATACTGCAGACAAATGGAGTACTTTTCTGCTTTGCGTGTTTTTAGTACTGTAAATTAATGTTCCGTCTAACGTCTTTGTCCATATAAAGCCTGTATGTCTCATTCACAATCACCATCTAAATCTTTATTTCAGTGGTTGCACAACAAAAGAACACATTGTAATAGATGTAGGCCTACTTAACAGACAGTTGCAGGTCTGTGGTAGCATGCAGGCATAAAAAAAATAATGTTTTGTTGGAAAGGAACTCTTTGGTGTTGTCCAACGATTGTCCAATTCCGTGTTAACTATTTCAATGTATGACCAATGGCACTGCAAAGACAAAAAGTTAAAGAGTTTTATTATCATTACATGCTGCTTGAAAAACTGTCAAATTAAAGTAATCTCTCATTAGAGAGAGTGCTGCTACTTCGTTTCAACACACTGTGGTTCTCAGAGCTGTGCTGATGTTCATTATGTTGTTAATTCATCCATCATTTCAGTGCTTAGGATGAATTAACAACATATAAAAGGACAATTTAGTCAATCTAAACCAGTCCATTCTCGTTCCCGCAAACCCATGCAGAGGTGATGGAAGTATCTCTTTTTGAATGGGTGTGAGAATCAACAAACAGATGCCTGTCAGTCCACACAGAGGGAACGCGCTGCCCTTTCACATCCACATGAAAAGCCATGAAAGTCTCTGGGTTTTGTCTTCAGTGTCTTAAGGCAGTGTTTATCTTTTGCAGGCTGAAGAAAACAAAGCCATCGATTTCTAATCCTAATCCCCTTCTACTGCTCCTCTCTTATTGATCATCTATCCATCCTTAATGAGATGGAGGGATAGAGGGATGGAG